AAAAAAAAAAAAAAAAAATTTTAATTGGCTTTATGAAAAATAAAAGTAATTTCCCAATAGATTCAGATGATAGTATTCATAACAAAAACACTCATTGTGATGATGGAGATGGCAGGGACCTATACTGGTGTGGGAAATCATCTTCAGGAAGTGGTGTTTGAGCTGAGGACTGAAGGGTATGTGGGATTTGGCCAAGTGAAAAAAGGTGGAGAAGGAGAGGGAGGGTAGGAGAATGATGCAGGCAGCAGGAAGAGTGTGTGCAAAAGCCTGAAGCAGGAAGGAACTTGCACCCAAGTAACAGAGAGAAGACGAGAGAGGTTCCATGATGCTGGAGTGGGAGGGGACCACACCAGGCAGGGCTGGTGGTCAGGGAGGGGTCATCTTGGGGCAATGGGGAGTCCTGGCAGGGTTCTGAGCTGACTTAGACAAAAACTGGGGTTGATAATGGAAAATCTATATACAGTAGTGGCTGATCAAGTAGATGCTGGATCAGGGGCAGCCACCCACTCCTACTGAGAAGCTCTGATCTGATTCTGCTCCTTTCAGGGACAGAAATGACCCACATATACCATGGTTGGGATACTCCAGCCAAGAACACTTACTTCTCACACAGGAGGTGGCTGTTTCATTTGCTCTCAAGCTCTGGGAGGTGGAAAGGACTGGGAAGACCTATCAAATGGGACCAGAGTCCCAAGTATCTAGTCCAAAGCCTGGTGTCTGACCCATATAGTGGGGGAAATGGCCCTAACACAAGTGTTGTTCATTCATTTGAAAAAACCCTGAGCACCTAGTATGTGCTGGGTCCTGGAGATCCAGCAGTGAGTAACACAGGTAGAGTCCCTATCCAGTAATGAACAACAAACCAATGCCTTTTGTAATGGCAGGTAAAGGCTATGAGTAAAGAAAAGCAAGGAGGCAGAGAGAGTAATGGGAAGAGTGGTAATGTTTTAGACAGAATGCTCCTGGAAGACCTCTCTGAATAGGTGACATCTGAGCGAAATCCCGATGGAAGTGAGAGAAGAAGCCATGCAGATGTCAAGAGCATTCCAAGCAGAGTGAACAGTATGTGCAAAGGCCCTGAGGTGCTTGGCACGTTGTAGGAACAGTGAAGATCTGAGAAGTGCCGGAGACCGATGTTGGAGAACTTTTTGAGCAGGGAAGTGACATGATTTACATGTTAAGAGGACCTCTTTCTATGAATTGATTGTGGAAGTTGTATTCGTATCTGTTCCTGCTACAATGTGACCTCCAAGAGAGCTGATCCCTAGTATATATTAGAAAGACAAGCATATAGTAGGTGCTCAAAAAAATATATTGCTGAATGAACCACCAATGCCTGTTTGGTGCCAAGACCTCTGGCATGCACAAGAGTAAACAATCTGTAAGAATAATACCAGCCAACACTTTCTGGATGTTGACTAGATGCCATGTACTGCTCTAAGCACCTTATTAGTGTCCTGCTGCCATCCCCTTGTGAAAGAGGAGAAAATCAGGCCCACAGAGGAGAGTGATTCACCCGGGAACCTGCAGCTAGACCTTGTTGTTGTTATGTGTCGTTGAGTTGGACCTGACTCATAGCGACCCCTCCTGGGTTTCTGAGGCAGTATCACTATGGAAGTAGATTGCCCCATCTTCCTTCAGAGCAGCAGCTAGACCTGGTAAAGGCTAAGTTTGAACCAGATCACCTGGTTCCCAAAACCAGGCTCACAGTCAACATGCTGGTGACCATGGGAGTTTGAAGGGGTTCACAGGCTCCAGGAGACCACATGACTTTGTTTTGAACCCTAGCGGAGGACTGTCCACCCCCAGACACTCACCACATCAATGAGGCAAATGGTGGTCACAACATCATTGGGCTGAGAGACCACGACCTCGGCCGTGGCAAACACCTTCACCAGCGCCTCGTCCTTCTGCAGTGTCACCGATGGAGGGTTTGGCACCTGGATCTTGATGGTGAGTGGGCGGGACTCAGGGTACTGCTGGAACACCTGAGGTTGGCACCAGATTGGGGTGAGGAGTGTCCAAGAGGTCATCAGCTAACCTCTAAACATGTAGCACAGGAGCCTTGAACTTGAGCACCTTCAGATTCAACAGCATCATAGCTTGAGCCCCACAAACCCCTGTGCAGAGCCCCTGACCCGCTGGGGGATGTAGGCAAGGTGCTGCCCTCTCTGGACCTCTCTGGTGCTTTGTGATGATGAAATATGATAGTGCCAGAAAAGCCTCCAACTCAGTGCCCAACACATGGAACTACTCACAGCCTGGCACTCCACCAAGTGGGGGCTCCTAAGGGCAGCAGGTCAGGGGCTGGGTGATTGTATTGAAACATCACAACAACTCCATAGGTTTCATGGGTTTTTTGTTTTGTTTTGTTTTGTTTCTCCATGTTACAGATGAGAAAACTGAGACTCAGAGGGAAATTGAGGCTCAGAGAAAATTGTCAAGACCAACAGGAGAGCTGTTGAGTCCAGGTCTGTGTGACTCAGAAGCCCAGGCCCTTCCTGTTCTCCCCCTGCCTCTGGACGCCCTTCCTGGAACAACTGAGTCCACAATTTAGGGTATCTCCTAGCAAGATCCAAGAAGTACTGGCTGCCTCACCTGCCTGGATTGGCTGGGATTCCTGAAACCCAGAGTGGGTTGCGTCTGAGCCTGTTTGCTATAAATTGATTCTCTGAATTACTTAGCTTTTGATGAAGGGACCACTCACCAAATGGCTAGTTTATCAACTTCACTAAATAACTGATTTGCCAAAAAATATATATTTTAAGGAATATTCTATTTAATATATTAAATAATTATAAATATATGGGCAAAATTACAAAGTTGCTTTTAAAAGAAAATGAAAACTTTCCTATATGCGATACATGGCCATGCAGATCATGGTCCTAAGAACATTCTACTCATTTTCTTGAGCACATTTAAGGTGAGGATTCTTTTAGCCAAGCTCTTGGTCAACTGTGAAATCTGTTCAATTCAGCCAATTGACAACTCACTCAGTTCCTTTGGTACTTTGGCTTTCAACCAGTCAATCTGGTGAATTGGCTTTATGAAGGGACGCGCCAACCACCTCCACTTGAACTTACAGAGTCTCTAAGAATTGGCAACGTTTTCATTCGTGGAACATCAAGAGGTTACTTGGCTCTCTCTCCACAGAGGCAGGAGACCAAGGGAGCCCTCCTAGCTGTGGCACAGCCTCTCCCAGGGATGTCACTCAGGCCTGGGTCTCCAGGACACATTCCTTGTATCCAGCCTGAATCCTCCTTGCCACAGAGTCAGCTTAGTTTCAAGGCCTGAGTCCCTGTTCTAGCCCACCTCTGCCACTCACTCATTGTGCGATCTCTCTGAAACTCAGTTTCCCCATGTGCCAGAGGGGTGTGCTCTTCCCTAACAGTCCTGTGGATGGGGGGATGGTTAGAATCAAATGAGTGGATTCTCGAAGCTTTTTATAAGCATGTGCAGAGCACACGGGATATGGGCCAATAAATAAAAAGTCCAGTCAACTGAAAGGTCCACCTGCTTCCTGAGCTGCCATGGTTACGATGACATTAAATTGTGCTTCTGCCATTTAGTTTTCAACCACATGAGGGCAATGGTGATCATTTCTTGAGTTTGGTGTTGTCGATTATTACAGGAGGAGGAGCTCTGGTGGTGCTGTGGTTAAAGCACTGGATTGCTAACCAAAAGTGGTTTGAACCCCCAGCCCCAGGTGGGGAAGTCTGCTTCCATGAAGATTTATAGCCTTGGAAGCCATATGTATGAAGTATTCCACTCTGTCCTATAGGGTCACGATAGGGTTTAGTTCTGGCTATCATGGGGAGGGAGTGAAAGGAGCGGGACTTTTCACTCTCTTCTCCCCCAGATACCATCTTTCTCTTGCTTCTTTCTTTGAATTTCACCCAGAAGTAGGCAGGACAGGTAGAAAAGAAATGGAAAGTCGTCTAAAATGTCTGTCTATTACAGCAACCCTTCATACCTGTATAACGCCTCTGTCCCCACTGTATATGGCCAATAATCAGGCAAGAGTGCTTTTGCTTCTTTTTGTTTGTTTAAGATTTTGTAGTTATTAACAATAATAATAAAAAAATTTGTCAAATGCTTGCTCTGTGCTTGGGTTCAGATCCCAGGCCCACGATCACCCTGTTTTCCAGATGAGGAAACTGAGGCAGAAAGACAGTCATTTGCCTAAGGTCATGTGATGGGATACAGGCCTGTCTGCACCAAAGATGTGGCTCTCCCCCTCTAGGCCACCACGGACCCACCACGTGCCTGGCCTTGTGCTGGCATTGCTGCATGCACTGTCTGCTTTACCCTCATCCATGAGCCTGTGGAATAGGTGTTAGTTTCATTTTGTGATAGATGAGGAAACTACGGCTCAGGGACACTCAATCTCTTTCCCAAAGTCACTCAGTGAGGAGGTGGCCAAGCTAGGATCAGATGTGTGCAGGCTGGTCTGCCGCCAGAGCTCAGGATCTTCTATCTCAACTCTGTCACAGGGATCTGGCCTCTAAGCCTGTCATTGTACAACTAAGGGGGGTCAGGACACCCACCCTAGTGCTGACCATCTTCCCTTCCAACTTGACTCCTGAGACAGCAGGAAGTAGGTGAAGCTGAAGGTAATGAAATCTGCTTGCTTTACATACCTTAGGGATCAGCGCCCCCAGAGTGGATGTAGTGAGTGGAGGGAGCTCTTCAAACTGTAGGACGAAAAGAAGCGTTGTGTGAGTCCCTGAAGCTGTAGGGACAGACAAGAGCTGCCAATAGAGTGATCAAATTCCTACGTGCTCCAACCAGCAAGGACGTCTTCTTTCCCTCACCTTTGGGGGCCCGGCCCATCCAGCAGGTCACCTAGACCACCGCAGTCATTTTGTCTCGTAGTCGGAGGCATTGAAGCTCACCCCAAGCATGCTTTACAGAGCAGGAGGAAAAACCTGAACTTCAGCCGTTCCAGAATCTGTCTTCTCTAAAAAATGTAACTTTTTATTAAAACAAAGTGAGCACCAGCAAGTCCTATTGGCATAACCTGGTGTCTGCCATATTCATGACTTCTGTTATATCCCTGAACCACCTGTACTACAATTTACTCACCATCTTCTTTAAATTAAGCTATTTTAAAACAACAACAACAAAAAAAAACCTTCAAGTGTTCTTGTTTTAAAAGGAAATTCATTGTGCTATTAAAAACAGGAAGCTAGTTCCACTTGACAGAAAGAGATGGGAATTTTAAGAATGAATGCAATAAACACTAAATAATGCCATTACATTTTAGGTGGCTACTATTGTCTGTGTAGGACTCTGCATGTAAGGCCTGTCCTCTCGGTTAAAAAGGGCACTAATCAGTGCAATTAGTTGGATCCACAGTCAACACCCATAGAAGCAGCAGTCAAGAAATATTGAACTGGGCAAATGTGCTGCAAAAGACCTCTTTGAAGTGTTAAGGAACAAAGATGTCACTGTGAAGACTAAGGCACATCTAACCCAAGCCACTTGACTGCTAACCAGAAGGCTGGCGGTTCAAACCCACCAGCCACTCCTTGGAAGGAAGGTTGGGCAATCTACTTCCATAAAGATACTGCCTTGAAACCCAGGGAGGGGTTGCTATGAGTCAGGTCCAACTCAATGGCACATAACAACAACAACAACAACCCAAGCCATGGTATTTTCAATTGCTTCATGTGCATGTGAAAGCTAGACAATGAACAAGGAAGACCAAGGAAGAGTTGATGCCTTTGAATTGTGGTGTTGGCGAAGAATGCTGAAAATACCATGGACTGCCAGAAGAATGAACAAATCTGCCCTGGAGGAAGTACAGCCGGAATGCTCCTTTGAAGCAAGAATGGCCAGACTTCGTCTCACCTACTTTGGTCATGTTGTCAGAAGGGACCATTCCCTGGAGAGGGATATCATGCTTGGTAAAGTGGAGGGTCAGCAAAAAAGGGGAAGTCCCTCAATGAGATGGACTGACACAGTGGCTACGACAGTAGGCTCAAGCACAGGAGGGAGTGTGAGGCTGGTGCAGGACCAAGCAGTGTTTCATTCTGTTGTGCACAGGGTCGCTATGAGTCAGAGCTGACCTGACAGCACCTAACAACGTAGTGCCTAAGGCATGTGACTGCTAACCAGAAGGCTGGTGGTTCAAACCCACCAGCCACTTCTCGGAAGGAAGACTGAGCAATCTACTTCCATAGAGATACTGCCTCGAAACCCAGGGAGGGGTTGTTATGAGTCAGGTCCAACTCGATGGCACATAACAACAACAACAACCACAATCAGTGCAAGAGAAGGTTAACTAGGTACTGGCACCAAGTGGAGACGTTCCTGTTGGTTGAATCCATGTTTGACATGATTTGTATTGTGCTTTTCTTGATTTGCATTTGGCTGCTAACCCGAAAGTTGGCAGTTCAATAGATATGAAGTAAATGTGACAAAATAGTAACAACTGGTGAATCAAGGTGAAGGATATATGGGTGTTCATTGTACTATTTTGCAATTTTTGAAAGGATTAAAACTTTTCAAAAGAAAAGGTTTGGGGAGAAAATAACTCTGGAGCATTCCTAAGGGTGGTAGTTTATACCTATATATCTTTTGGTTATTTAGTATCAATGTTTGCTAAGTGAAAGGATTCTAAAAATTTATATTGAGATATATAGGTACTATGCATTTTAAAAAGAATTAGCATGAAATTAAATAAAATTGAATAGGACGCAATTTTCTCACTATATGATTTGATGTTACTCAATGCCATGTCTGTGAACCTCCTAAAATGGGCACCATGCGTTGGTCAACACTGACACATTTACTATACACCCATGATCTGACAATGAGTCAAGGGGTGGACTGTCTATAGTTCTTGCTTTAGAGCAGTTGTTCTTAAGCCATGGAGATAGGAAAGGCCCAACAGGGAGCTGTTGCCCGCCCAGCCCCACTCCACCTCCTGATGGGACCATGGCTCACCATGCCATCAGTGATGTCAATATCCAGTGCCCCTTGCTTCTGCAGGAGAGTTAACACTGAGCCCAGGAAGTTAGCAGAAATGGCCAGTTGGGAGTTGGTGTTTTCGCCCATGGGGGGCAGCTCTGGCATCTTCGGCCTGGGAGCCGTAGCTGGCCGCCCCAGTGGGTAGTCAATGAGGTCTCCTCCAGCCTCCCCAACTAGAGTCTGAGGGAGCAGAGAGGAAAGGGATTATGGGAAAGGGCACAGGGAGAAAAAGGGAGGAGGGAGGCCGAAAGCCGGGGTGAAGCTCCAAATTTGCCTCAGGGCACCCTCCTTCATTAAACTCACTGGGCCTAAGTAACTTCAATTAACAACCCCCAACTCTTCTTCAATTTGTGATGGTAACCCTTGCAGTTCCTGCTATATTATCACTTATAATTTTAGATATATGTGTGACATGGATTTGTTCCTATCTAAGTCCTTCCATAATGAATTAGCACATTTATGTGTCTGCAAAATGCATATTAGTTTATATGCTCTTTAAAGACCAGACTCCTCTCCAGGGCCTACAAGGTGCTATGTGATCTTCCCCAGGGGGGGCCTCTCCAGCCTCATCTCCAGCCACTCTGCCCCTCACCCTCTGCAGTTGAGCCTTGTCGGTTGCTCACGCCACCTTACCATCTCCACTATGGGGCCTTTGCACATGCCCTTCCCTCCCTCACACTCCTCTCTTATGAAGTCCCACCCATGTGGCAGGTCTCAGATGAAGTGTCACCTCCTCCAGGAAGCCCTCTTTGACCTCCCTGGATAGATCATATCCCTCTGCTTTAGGCCCTGATAGGCCTGGATCCTCTTGCACGACACTAATGATCTATGATTTTATATATGTGTGAGGGATTCTTTGATGGTCTGTCTCCTCCAAGAGATTTTAAGAGGATGACTCTGTCTGTGTTGTTCCCTACTATACCTCTATCACCCAGCCCAAAGCCCAGGCACACAGCAAGTACCCATATCTCTTGAATGAATAAGTGTTTATTAATATCCTAGGCATCCATATATATGTGTTCCCAGGTATGACTATGTGACTATGTACAGGGGAGCACATGTGTGCACCTGCATCTCTGTATCAGATGGAGCAAGTAGGGGAAGCACGTGTCCTGCACAGCACACGCAGCCTAGTGGAGTATGCATGTGTGTGTGCCCACGTACAAGTAGGAGCCAGGTTCAGTGATGGGCTGGAGCTAGCTCACACTGGTTCAAGGGAGCCAATTGTACACATCCACATTCAGTAATATCCATTTGCAGCTTGAAATCAGCCATGGTGGGAATATTTATACCACAGAAATTGGCCAACATTACAAATTATGGCTTTAAACAAAAAAAAAAAAAATTCATGGAGATCTCATTGTTAAATGCTTAATAGCACACTGTTGGCCATATCATGTGTCAGAATCAACTCAATGGCAGTGGATTTGGGGGCCATATCATTCCTCTAGCAAACCCACACCCATAGCAGCAGCTCAAAAGCTAGAAGCTAGATTGTCTGGGTTCAGATCCTAAATTCACCATTATTAGCTATGTGACCTTGGGCAAGTGGTTTAGCTTTTCTGTACCTCAGTTCTCTCATCTGTAAAATGGGTTCAGTAAGAGTGCCTACTCCATAGGGCTGATGTGAAGATGTACTGAGTTAACTGTGTAAACTACTTGCTAAGTGTTGGCTGTGATAATGTTTCCTAACTTGGCTTCTAGAAGGTCTTCATCTAATCAAAAACTGATACTGTTCAAATGTTGCAGCAGGAGCCTTAGGGGACCCTCATTCACATCCCTGCCTTTGGGGAGGAGAGCTACCACCCCTAGTGCCAAAGCCTAGGTACTCACATTGAGATCTAGCTCCAGGAATTCCCCAGTCACAAGCGGGAGACTGGAGAAGGTGTACTGGACACTTCCCAATATCCCCAGAGGAATCAGAGCTGCAAGCAAAGAAGGGGTTCAGAGGAGGTCCCCTTCAACAACCCGATGCCTTCCCTCCTTGTGCCCTGCAGCTGGGGGACTGAGGTTCTGGATTGTGTGGAAAGAGCAAAAGCTCTGCCTCTTCCTTTCTGAGAGACCTCAGGCAAGTCACTGCACCTCTCTGGACCTCCGTTTCTTGCTCTGTAAAACGAGCTTAATGTAACACCTTGGGCTATATGGAGGAGAGGGTCAAGGAGATCCTGAACAATGATCAGCCTTGTAAACTGCAAAGCGAGGTGTAGCAGGGAGGAAGGTTTAGGGTTCCACAACATGGTGCTTAGTTGCACTGGCCTTTCTCTTTGCTTAGTGACGGATAGCCTCTACTCTGGGCTCTTCCTCCCTCATCCCCAGCCACAGAGGGAGAGGTTTCTACCTGCCTAAGAAAGCCATTCTCAAACTGCATGGAGTCCCAGAGAAACAGGAGCACTGTCAGAGAGGACTGCCCTGTATGCACAACTCAAGATGCCACCATTATACCACAGTCTCTGTAAAAGGAGGTCCCTGGCTATTATGCAGTGTATGAATGACACAACTATGTAGGGCATCCCTGGAGGGAACCCAGAGGTCAAGGAAGGGGGTGGGGTTTGGTCCTTGGTGCCAGGTCTGAGGATCTGAACCGTGGTCTCCACGGTGCCTGCTAGCATTCTCTCCCAATCCTTCTGGGGTTTAAAGCCAGATCCTTCATTTTAGAGAGGAAGAAACTGGAAGGGTCTAAGGGCACCTGGCTGCCGGGTGGAGACAGAGCTCAATTCCAGTTCCCAGACCCCAATCTAGGGTCGCAGCTTCCCAGCTCCAGGTGGAAAGCTACTCCCTCTGGGACTTGGGGGGATGGTTGGGGTGAGGGAAAATGTCAAGTGGTCCTTCTCTCAGGCACCACCACATCACATTTCAAAGGCCTAACAGCAAGTGTGGCCCTCCTCCACACTACCTCCCCCGAGAGATATCTATGTCCCCAGGGCCCTCCCTGAGACTGGGCCCAGAGCAGGTACTAATAGGTGTTGGCCAAATGAAGTAAAACAGGAAGGACTTACAGTCCACAAGACCCAGCTGGTCGTTGACAAGACCCAGTACCACATCCACAATAGGGCAGAGCTGCGGGGGAGAAAGGGCCATGACGTAAGGTCCAGTGATGTCATGGGAGCAGAGGGAGGGATGCACATTTACTGACTGCTTGCTCTGTGCTAGGCACTACCATAGAGAAGGTTCCACCCTACTTGCCATTTTACAAGACGGCAAAACTGAGATTCAGAGAGAATTTGCCACACAGCTAAGAAGCGCCCGAGTTGGGATTCAAACCAGAATGGTGCAATTCTCCTATCCATTTCCTCATCCCTTCATTGATCCACCCCTCCACACTCCTCAGGGCCCTGCCCAGGCTCCAGGAGCATACTCCCAAGCCCCTGGCTCCTTCCAACTCCATCCTTCTAGGTCACCAGCATGCCCCAGGGAGTGGGGTTGGACAGTGGGCCCTTGGACAGGAGAAAGTCTGAATTCCTTGCTCCCGGTCCCAAAACAGGTTCTTACCAAATCAGGGAGGACATTGGCCAGGACTCTATTCACTAAGTTGTCCACGAGGTTGGGAAGAAGGCTAAGGAGAGATGAGCAGAATGAGGACAAGGCTCACAGCCAAGGTGGAGCTTGTCAAGTATGTCCACACTGGGGGTCCGTAGCTCATTGAGAACCTTGGGTATTAGAACATTTTTCTGAAAGCCAGAGGACATTCTGGCTTCATTCTGAACAAAATGGATAGGCTACCCAGTTTAATTGGTTGGCTCTTCCTTTCTTCCTTTCTTTCTTTCTTCCTTCCTTCCTTCCTTCCTTCATTCAACAAATAAATGCTTCTTGAGCTCTATGTTGGGCCAGGCTATGATGTTTCTGACTTTCAGTGGCAAAAGTTGCCTCATTCCTGGTTCCCTCCTGCTCACCTGACCCTCTAATGGTCTGTTCATCACTGCTCTGCATCACTTTCCAAGAGGAAAATGAATGTATTACTTTACCCAAGCATCTAACAAAGGTTTTGTTTCGTAGTCGGTACTTGATAAATGTCAGTGGGAAGGGAGGAAAGAGGAACACTGGACAATAAAATGTCTTTGTGTGATTCACCTGAGATGCTAAAAAGATTGGGAGACATGACACATTTTCAGACAAGGAGACCGAGGTCCATGGAAGTGGCCCAGAGCAAGTTCTAAGGACATCACCCAACTCTTAACTAACCCTCCTATCCAGTTAGTTAAAGGCAGAGGTAGTGCTTCATGCTTAGAGAAGGTGCATAGATGGACAGACAGACAGACTTGGAATCCCAGCATTTGTTTCCAGAGGCCCTGGAAACAGGGAAGATGAGGGAAGCATGGCCCAGAGCAGAGACTAACAGGTGATGTTGGCAGATGAAGAAAAGCAGGAAGGATCACTGACAACTGGACTCCTAAAAACTGGTCCCCACCTCCGCTGACCACTGCCTGTCCCCTGCTGCTGAGGTTGTAGGTAACTACCTAATGTTGTGCAGTCTGACAGAGCAAAGTTTTTGAGATAAAATCCTTATTGGAACATTTCCTCCAAAGCTTACCATGCATTTTGGTCTCTCTTTTTAGTAGATTCACCTTACGGGACCTTATCCTGATTCCAATTCTCCTTGGATGATATGGCCCTTGAGGACATGTGTCTGTGTGTGTGTGTATGCATATACATTTGTGTGCACAAAGGCATGTGTGTGCATGTGTGTATACATACATGTGTATACATGTGTGTGTGTGTGTGTGTGTGTTATGGGAATAGTTTGAAGTTAATGCATGTATATTCAGGACACAGACTACTTTCCTTTCCCTGCAAATTATCTAATAAATACATCAGCCTACCTGTGAAGTGACGTATGTAAAAAGTTATTCATTAAGCCTTATTAGTCAGAGCAAAAAATTAAGACAAATTGAAATGAAAAACAATAGGAGGCTGGCAAATAAATGGCTGTTCATGCAGATAATGGAATATTATACAGCTATAAAAAGTTAAACAATGTCCAGATACAGAAAATTCTCCAAATAGAGTAAAAGAAATAAACAAAGTATGAAACTGTGTGTCTCTCTGTGTGTGTGTGTGTGTGTGTAGTTTGGACCCATTTGTGTGACAAAGGAGAAGGCAGAAAGAGAGTCTACAATGCATGTTTGCTTGCATTTGTACAAAGAACCTGGAAGGAGACTCAAGAGAGGAATGTCCATGGTGAGCTTGAGGGACAGGGGCACATGGGAGACAGGGCTGGAGGGAGGCTCTCTTCTGGGCCTTTTTGTCATCTGAGATTGTTAGACCATGTATAACCAAATATATTTCCTAGTGAAAAGCGTAAATTTGAAAATGTGTAAGTTTTCTGGCTGCTTCTGTTCCCCTCATTCCCCTCAGAGACCAATTCCTTCTGCTTCCACCCATCCAGAACCAGAAACAAAGACTCAGAGAAGGTGACATGAATCAGAAAAATCTGGGATTGAGTAGCATAATGAGTTTTTCTGCTCCAAAATCTAGATGAGATGAGTGCTGGAGGGATTGGGCCAAGGAATTAGTAAAACAGAAGAGGAAGGAGTGGGGGGCCAGAGCCTTGAAGAGAGAGGCCAATGGTGAGGATCAGGGAGTGAAGAGAAAAGGACTCACTCTGGGCTATCCTGAATGTGCACTCGTCCAAGACCACGACCTGGGGACAGCATACCAGCTAATACATGAACGCTTGAAACTTCTCCGGACAGAGGGTGGGAATTTAGCTACTTTGTGGGGAGGGTGTGATAGGAAAAACTCACTCCCCGACCAAGGATAAATCAAATAGAACCAACAAGGAAACTTGTTGGAAGGATCACTGACAACATGAGTTGGGGCATCAGTGAACACACCACCCCTGTTAGATACATAGTCATAAACTCTTAAGATGTGCCAGATTCTGCCCTAAGTGTTTTACATTCATTCTCTCAATCTCCAAGGGCGAAAGAATTATCTCTAATTCATAGCCAAGATTTGAACCCGGGCTGGCTTCTAGAGCCTGTTCCTTTAACCATCATGAACCAAAGTGGCAATCAGAATTACAAAGTTGCAGGACTAGTCTCCAGGTTGGCTGAAGCCCCACATCCTGGGTTTGAAGGCACAGCCCCTGGTCATGGAAGCACCTGACCAGAGTTTAGAGTGTGGCTGGCTCAGCATGAGTCCTCACTACCCCTGTAGGATCTCTGCTCTGCCCACCCCAGTGCCCGTGGGTAGGTAGTGACACGATTTTGTTTGCCAAACTTGGACCACTCCCCCAAGCCACTCCCCTGTCCTTACCCTCTCAGCAGCTTAACTTTAATGCCTCCCAGGAGGGTGTCACATCTCTCAATGACCAGCCGCGGATAACCCGTGCGGTCCATGGTCAGCCGGACCTTGGCCGTGATGTTCACCTCTACAGCGATGTCCAGGAAGCCAATAAGACTGGATGAGACCAAGGGGCCAGGAAAACAATGAGTCCCCCTCCAATCGACAGGCAGTTCACCCTATCCAGGC